GCTTAGAAGAATTAAGCCTTTCCTTTTCACTAACTAATTCTACCACAGAACCCCCTCGAAACTCAGCATAAAATCGAGGAAGAGGAGAGAGAAGACAAAGAAACGCCAGTGGGCGATGAACCCAATCTACGAGAACAACCGCCCATTTAGACCTTGGGGGCTTGGGACAATAAGTAAAGCTCCAGGTCTCCTCTATAAACTCTCTGGCCAAACAGTTCGTACACCAGGTCTGTATAGGCCAACTGACCGCCAATCGAAATGCGATAAGTCAAGATACCTTCTTGATACAAACGAGCGAATACACAGCTCCGTCCGAATCAGGCTTGTCTGCAAAGGCCTCGGCTTGAATGATGACCACGTCTGGGACTGCCCAGCTTTGCTCAGTAACTGGAAACTCAAACGAACGCGGGAGAAATATACCGACCCAGTTCCATTGCAGCCCGGTTGGTGTCCGAACGGTGGAAAAAATCATATGGGCCATCCTAACGATTGGTCGAAGGGGCGATGGGTTTGGGAATACGTCGGCAACGAGAATGATGGCCCCAAAGAGGCAAGACAACGGATAATGGTTGAAGAGCCTTTAGGACCCTATGAGCGATACTTACTCAACTTGTCAGCAGGTTCACCGAATGTGTATCATTTTGCGGACACGATAAATAGTTGAAGGCTCTGGCTTGATAGCTAGGAGGTGGCAGAGAACGTCTGACTACAGCCCTAAGAGGTGAAAAGATTTAGATAATATTACATTCTTTATGATATCTTATGATGAGTTTAACATACTCTCTGAAGACGTCATCTTCTCACCTTGTTCTAACTAAGACCGTATTAAGTCTTCAGGCGTTTGCGATGGGCACATGTTTCGGGCCATACGAGGCGTCAACGCTTCGCCTTTGGGAAGTCCATCATAATAAGTGGATTGTTTGAGACATGAGATTTTTAGCCATCTTATAATAATAGTCTCTTATCAATTACAGAATTCCATCTCAAAAGCATAATGGCTTTGAGGTCACGTGCTTTCGTGATTCTTCAATCAAGCCCGTCTTCTGTCTCAAAACTTCTGCCTTTTTCCGCACTCGAAAGTTATTTGTGAGCAACACATGATTCAGCAGACTCCAATATGTCTGACACAAAAGCCGCCGATTTGCTGCAATTCGCTCAAGAATATGCCTCCAAAGACGTAGATCTCTATGAACTCCTTGGCATCGATGCCCTCACACCCAAGGAAGACATCCATCGCGCGTGGCGCAAGCGATCTCTGAAATACCATCCCGACAAAGCAGGCGACAATTTCGATGCGGAAAAATGGCAGCTCTTCGAACGCGCCCGCGACATCCTATCCGAGCCAGGGGCGCGCGGCGCTTACGACGGCGCCATCAAGGCTGCCCTGCTACGAAAACAGGAGCGCGAGACCATGGACAAGCAGCGTAAGGCTTTTGTTGACGACCTCGAGGCGCGAGAGAATTCTTGGAAGGTACAGAGAGCGGAAAAGGAGCAGCGGGAGAAACAAGAGATCGAGAAGGAGAGGTCACGACTGGTTGAACAGAGGCGCATGCGCGAGGAAGAGGAAAGGCGCCAAGCCGCTGCTGCGCAAGAAGTTGAAGACCTTGCGGAAGCACGCCGACGACTGAAGGAGAAGAAAGAGAAGAAGAAACAGGATGACGCCAGAGAGAAGTTTCTGCGCAAGTCACGAAGGGCCGCGGAGGCTTCAGACGGCAACCCTGCACCTGGACCAATCAATGGTGTCATGGATGTACCAGGCGACTTCCTGGTTGACTTCGGTACCGAACAAAAGTTTTACTGGGAGCTCGTTTGCGCCAAACTCCGCGCGGTTCAGGCAGTCAGGAACTTACGGCAGAAAGAAGGGACATCTGAAGAGTACCAGCGAGCGGAGCACGGTTTACTTGATGCAAAAACGAGGATACACCAGGCTGAAGTTCGATTTGCGGAGCATGCATCTGTTTTGTAAAAGTCTTCTAGAGAAAGGATACGGAATAAGGTTGGCAGCTATGTCTATACGGAGTGTTTTATCTCACGCTAATATATCCCTTAGAATCACGATTCAGCGTCGAGCCGCAATATTTTGACAGCGTTCATCCCCATGACATTCTTGAAGTCCCCCGTGTCTTGTCCCACTGCAAGAGCAACGGCCTCCGTATTCAGGCTCACGCTCTCCCACTCACCCTGTTCATCAGTCGAAAGTGGTGGGAAGAAGGGGTGATCTGTGCCAAACATAAGCCTATCAGAACCGCTAGCTTGAACAGCCGCCTTGAGCCCAACTTCTGAGTAAATAACAGCATCAAGATAAACCTGCTCCCTCAACACATCCCACACTGTTCGACGGCCTTTGGTAAGCTTGCCTTCACGAAGCAACTGCCCGTCATGCACGATGCAGCTTTCGATCCTGCCAGCAAGGAAAGGCAAGGTTCCACCACTGTGGGCGAGGATCATGCGCAGTGCTGGGACTTTGTCGAAAACGCCCGCCAAGTACATCCTGGCGACAGCGATTGTTGTCTCCATAGGGAAGCCGAGGGCCAAGGGAAGCACATGCCCATATTCGGCGCTCGCCCGAGGTCCCCAGACATCGTTTGGCAGACCGTAGTGAGGATGCAGGAAGACAGTCAGTCCTGTTGTTGCGAGAGCCTCGAAAATGGGGAGAAGATCAGGGTCGTCTAGGCCTTTCCCGAGTCCGGAAGTGCCCAGAATCACCCCGCGACAGTACCTGAGGGTCCGAAGATGTTCTATAGAGGCGAGGACAGTCTCGAGAGCTGCTGTCAAGGGAAGTGTTCCGAAGAAAAAAAGCCTTCCAGGGTGATCGCTACACATGCGCGAGAATTCTTCATTGACGGACTGCGCGATTGCGCCTGACTCTGAGGGGCTTAGAAAGTCTAGCCACGGGTTCGCTAGGGATATGACAGATATATCAATCTTGTGCGTATCCATAAAGTGCAACTTTTGCGCAAGTGATGCATAGTGCGATGTTAGAGGCCGCCCAGGTGGTTTTGCCTCAGGGTTCTGTGCCGCTTCTTCCAATGCTTTGACCTCAGCCTCCAGAAGGATGAGTCTTGGATCAGGTGCTTGGGAAAACTTGCGGACGAGAGGGATTTGGGAACGCGATTCCAGGATTTGGATATATGAGGGAGGGTACATGTGTGTGTGTATGTCTACCACGCGGGAAGTAGAGGACGACATGGTGTTTAGGCCACTGAGAAGAGAGGCAATGGTGGAAGTGTGAGATAGGAAATTGGACGAAGCTTCGACTGTGAGTAAAGAAGCAAGCTAGAATGTCTGGATGAGGCACAGCCAGCACACACTCGCTATCAGCTCTTGCGGGCCAAGCTGTAGCAACGTTGCAGATCAACAAATCGGGTTACCCAAGTTGAGAGACACGCATAAGATGCTACTTGGGAGCGATTGAGATCGATACTAACCCCGCATGGCTGTTATCACTACAACCTTGCGATGTCCTATCACCCGCTTATCAGTAACCGTTGAACTGAGGGGTTAGGCGTTGGCCGCCGGCAAGCCTCTTTCGTTTCTAGGAATGTTCCGTCACGCTTATCGGCCTGTATTGGAGGTGTTGTGCCTATGTAGGTATATGTAGCTAGCAGATGCCAGCAAACTTGAAGACATCCCTCACGACTAATTTTTCCATGTAACCTATCTGTGTTGAAATACTGCAGTTCCTTCCCATTTATTTATCTTGTCGGCTGTATTCCCTCTACAAGTACCATTGCCATGGCCTCGGGTTTAGCTGTGAGCAAGGAGGGTCTATCAATTCCCGTCAGTAATCCAATGCCCAGCAGACTGTAACTCTTACTAACTAAGCTTCTCCTGTTTCAAGCTCATTGACTTCTCGCGCTTCCTCAGCGGAACTCCTGTGGAGCGTAATGAAACGGCCAATGCCATTCTTGACGGTTTTAAAACAGCTGGATTCATCTATCTCAAAAACCATCCCATCCTTCCCAAAGATTTACAGCATGCATTTGATCTATCAGCCCGCTTCTTCAATGAACCCCTAGAGAAGAAGATGGAGGTAGCCTGGACAACTCCAGAGGCAAACCGAGGCTACTCAGCCCCTGGACGCGAGAAAGTCAGTCAGCTCAAGGATATCCAGGAGGTTGAGAAAGTGCGTGCTGCTTTGCCGGACTTGAAAGAGAGTCTTGAGATTGGCCGTGAAGATGAGCCCGGACATCCGAATAGATGGCTTGAAGAAACCGGCGACCTTGTTGGGTTTCGAAAGGATATGCTCAGATTCTTTGAGAAGTGCCGCCAACTGCACGTGGAGGTCATGAAAGCTATTGCTGTTGGAATGGGGCTCGATGATAGATTCTTTGACTCTTTTGTCGATGTCGGAGACAATACGCTGCGGCTATTGCATTATCCGGCCGTTGATTCTAATATCTTCAAAACGAAGCCAGGCACAGTTCGAGCTGGTGCACATAGCGTAAGTTCTTCTGATCCTACGAGTTTCGCCCTGACCCCAGAATAGGACTATGGATCCATCACCCTTCTCTTCCAAGATGCTCGAGGGGGGCTCCAAGTCAAGAGTCCAACAGGAGAATTTGTCGATGCGACACCAATCGAAGGCACGGTCGTCGTCAATGCCGGCGACTTGCTTGCGAGATGGAGTAACGACACCATCAAGAGCACCATCCATAGAGTTGTTGAGCCACCGCAGAAGCAAGCTGAAGCTTACCCACCTCGATACAGCATTGCGTGAGTACAGTGGTGTTTCACTGTGGCGTTGTCAGACTAACTTGGTGGCAGATACTTTTGTAACCCCAACTTCAAAAGCTATATCGAGGCGATTCCAGGGACGTTCATTACGGAGAAAGACAAGAAGTATGAAGGTATCAATAGCGGTGATTACTTGGTCCAGAGACTGACTGCGACGTACTGAGAGTCGGCTTTGTTAAGAACATCATGGCCAGCGCAAACAGGCCTCGTTCTTTGAGGACCTCTGCCTTCAGATGGCGTAGTATTAGCACGAGACTAGTCAAATCATGATCCAAGAAGATTTCTTGGTGAAGTGTTGTGATAATGCTGTCTCATAGAAAGCACCTAGAGTGTACGTATGTAGACTTTCGTTGACTACTACCTAAGGTACCTAGGTAAGTGGTGGTACCTAAAGTTAGCATGTGAATCTGGGTTGCAGTGGGTTAAGGTGGGCAACTCGCTACCTAGGTACCTAAAGTACCTAGGTAGGTATCCCCACCAAAAACACTCAACACCGAGGCGCTAAACCTAATGAATAACTTCGAGGTTTCTTTATTGTTTGACATCCTCAACCTCTGTTTTCCATCGTCAACACTCACCCTAACACTAGGCTCCAACTTCGTTCTTGGCTCGCAGTCACTCATTCGATCAACTATAGGCAGTCTACTGCTCGACTTTGAAGTTCCCGGCTCCCAGATCGTAGCAGCAATGGACTCTAATACTCCGACCGCAAAACGACCCCTGAAACAGGAGCCTTCAACAGCAAACAAGGCCTATCTGATCTTCTACAACTTCATCTCAGCTGTGCAATGGTCTGTTGTGCTGGGACGCACCGCCATGCTTGCCAGTGCCTACGGGCCTGAGTACGTCTATCCTAATATTGGCCAATATACAAAATGGACACAGACTTTGGCTGGGTTGGAGGTCCTGCATTCGATGCTTGGTATGATTCCTCTGCTCCTTGACCTTGTATTGTATTGTGGTATATATTAACATAAAATGTTCCTTGCAGGCGTCGTTCGCGCTTCCTTTATGACTACTCTTATGCAGGTCGCCTCGCGTTTCCTGCTCGTCTGGGCCATCGTCGACGTCTTCCCCTTCCTCGCCCTCTCTCCCTTTTATTCGTCTATGCTCGTCGCTTGGTCCGTCACCGAGATTATCCGCTATTCCTTCTTCGTTCTCTCGCTGTGCGGCTACCAACCCAAGTTTCTTACTTGGTTGCGTTATAACACCTTCTTTGTGCTCTACCCCATCGGTATCTGCAGTGAATGCATCCTCATCTGGTTCGCCACTGAGCCTGCGGGCAACATTAACGAGCTCTATAAGTGGGCACTTTACGCCATCTTGGTTATCTATGTTCCTGGTAAGCTGAAAGAGACTGGGTGTGCGACTGTAATCCTAACTTTGCATAGGATCTTATGTCTTGTATACACATTTGATGAGCCAGAGGCGCAAGGTCATGCGAAATCTGAAAACCCAGGGTCAGAAGGCTCAATAAAAGGAATTTAGACGGTAAAGAAAAGAGGAGAGACGAGTGCCATTGAATAGCATACAATGGGAAGACTTTGGGGAACCAAGAACTATCTCGATGTGATTCGTATATATATTAGGGGCAGATATCTCTAACTAAAGAAACATAAGTCCAGCAGGTTAAACAGTTTTTTCGACCTGTGGAGTCTCGGGCGAAAGGCCGTCCTCAGTCAATGGTGCATCTTCCAACAGGAGTGGTTCTTCAGCACTCGTCTCATACCAGCCGTTCTGTAACCAGCCACGAATCATTTCAGTGGCATCCCGTGCCAGTTCGTTGTACCCTGGATTTTCTCTCGGCGTAAACATATCTGGAAACAGTTTCAGTATAACGATCGTCTCTCGAACGGCTTGACTTACTCATATGTGCTCCAGCCTCGTCCGTTGCCTTGTCGTTGATGGCTTCCATCCACACCCCTCCGGGCTGCTTTTTGGGAAGATTGCAGAATGTCCTGTCCTGCCCCAATACGGTGCCAACGACGTTAATCTGCTTCGACGGCGCTGCTTTACCAAGACGAGTGTATATGTTGGCGAAACCCACGTCTAACTCCTCTCGCAACTGAAGAAGACACGCCACTCGTTTGCGCAGTTCTTCTCCTCTGGCAAGGCATCCCACGAATTCGAGATGCGACGACGCCCAAGACCAACTCTCACCCAGTTGGTCGCGCTTCATCCATGCCGCAGCACCTCCAGCTGCTACCGCTCCAGCTGCGCCAGCGTACATAGCCATTTTGCCCCATTTTTGCCATGAATTGCCACCGGATGCGGAGGGAGCCGGCAGCGCCCCAGCTATCTTCGGGGGAGCGGGCGATGTCGAAGGGGAACCTGCTGTTTTGGCGCCCCAGAGTGATGCTCCGAGGCCGCTCAGCTGCGATATTGCACCTACAGCCTGTGCAGCGTTTTGGTACTGATCCTCTGCACCGTGAGCTACCACACCAGGAGATATGCCAAGATAAGGAGTATCAAAGGCGAGAACACCTTGAATGTAGGGAAACATGAGGGAATTGAAAGTTGGTTTCTCGAGCTTTTGAATTCCGTCTTCCGTGTAGATAGGCTTCTCAGAAGCTAAGCTGATGAGCATCTCGGCCGCCACGATGCCACCCATGGAATGGCCGACGAGGATGGTTCGCACCGAAGGCTCTATCGTTGGCGACGGTGTGCCAGCTGCGACCTCCATGTCGATGACCATGTTCTGAAGCCTATAGTAATCGCTTTTAGCCAACGCCCTTGGAAGAGCAGCAGTCCAGCAAGGAATACTCACCAGTCGCGGAAGCGACTCACACAACTGCCCAAATCCCCACGAGTCTCATATTTGGGATAAACAACCACTTCAACATCAACCTTTGGCAAAGCCTGCCCTACCAAATCGCGTAGGTCCTTGGTGAATTGATAATCAACACCGAACGTGTCCTCGCCGCCCTTGAGAAAATTAGTATTATGGCTAAGACCGACTATGACTGGCGAAGACGAGGCAGCGAGAGGTAAAGTCGCAGTATGGGTGTGTATACCTTGAAACCATGAATAAAACAAAGAAGCAGAGTCTTCTTCATTATAAAGTTCTGTCCATCAAGATCGACCTAACGGAAAGCACACGTTGGCGAAGGTCCAGCTAAGACTGTCTGTGTATCGGGGTTGTGGCGAATGAGGACAAGTCTAGGTTTGTTACAGAGAGACAGAGAGACAGAGAGAGAAAGAGCTGAGCTGAGCTGAGTTGAGGAAGCATCAAATTCAAGACACCTGACCTGTACTATCAAACTCAGAATCTTATCGCGTCAAATGATCACCACCGCTGTCGCTGTTATAGATAGAGAGACGAGTAAAAGTTACTGCATGTAAGGCTTATAATTAAAATACATCCTACTATTTATCTAAACTCGCAGTGCAAGTTCGCCATCCCCTTGCAGGTTTGACGCACTCCAGAGTCGTCCATTGGGAGGTCCATGAAACGAATTCCGTCAATGCGTCCTCTGTGTATGGTATTTGATCCTCGATTCCCTTCGCTTTCTCTTTCCCTGATCGCATATTGTTTATTGACACCTGTCCTGCCGAACGCCATTGCATATATCATCAAACAATCGCCGTTTCGGGCGATACAACTTTACAGGCTATTTTGCGGCCCGATCTTATCGATCAACAGTCCTCCCTTGGCACCCGCATTTGTCATTCCTCGTCGCTTTGAGCAGCAGTGCTACCGCCGTTTGCCTCTCTCGAGCCACTAGAAATCAGTTTGATCCGGGTGCCACTGGGCTGCGGAGTGCCGCCACCTCCAGAGGGCGCCACTGAACTGTCCTTTGCCCCTTCTTCAAGTTCTTGAAGTTCAGGATGCGCCACCAGTTCTTCTTGGTACTTGGAGTTGAAGAATTCCTATCACACGTTAGCGAAAAATCAGACAAACAACCACAGACGGAGTATGCTTACGTTCATGACCTTAGCATCTTGATACAGAATGCTTCCATCCTCGTTGTAAGTTTGACAGTTGCGGATCATCAATTCGATGTCCTTTCGCAGTCCACTTAACGATGTGTATTCCTCCTTTTTGATCCGAGTCTGTATCTGGTTCATGCAGATAGGGTTCTGAATGATGAGATAGTAGTCTGCGTAATCGCGCTTGGGAGGCAGTTTGACGAAGGGTCCGATGATGAGACGCTTACCAGGATCCGACTCGTCATCCTCGGGGGGTTCAATATCGTCCACCTCCAAAGTCATTAGAGCATCGTACAAGTTACGAAGACTCTTTTGTAAGACTTCCCGCTGATGGGGTGGAAGCCGCGACTCCAGACTGACTTTGCTGGGGCGTCCTTGTGGCCCACGTCGCTTTTTGGGAGGAGGTTCATCATTACCGTCCTCGGCCTTGCGCTTCTCGTTCTTGCTGCCTGGTTTACGACCTCGTTTCTTGGGGGTTTCAATCTCCTCAGTGCTTGCTCTACTACCTGATGGCGATTCATCCACTGAGTTGGGGGCTCCAGACTTCTTTAACCTGTTGTTCTCTCGCCTGTCCTTTCGGGCTTGCTTGCGAGCCGCAGCTGCTTCTGGAGAGTCATCATCGTCATCCACAGCCATAAGCCATTGCTCTTCAGTGAGACCATCGTCGTATTTGACTTTGGTGCGTTCACGCGCACCACGACCCAGCACAACATCCTCCGTCTCATCCGAGATAGGATTCCCCTCATTCAAATAGATATCTGGCAATTCATCCTCACCCATAAGTCGAGGTTTGCTGCCTGGTCCAGTGCCATAGGGCGAATTTCTTTGTCTTTCCTCGTCAATCTTTTGGAACACAGTTATCTCATCATCACTGCGCGCAAGGAGCATGTTGAGTTCTTCATCCTCCATCTCATCTTGCTCACCAGATTCCGCCATATCAGCAGTCTCCAATAATGTTCGAAGCATAGCGTCACGGTCAGTCTCAGAAGACTTGTTGTCGAAACGACCGGCCTGAATAACCTTGCCATCCATATCCAGTTTAAATCTTGCTCGCTCGAGAATCTTCTCTTCTACCGAGTTGGAGCTGATAAGTCGGAGGATTCGGACTTCATTCTTCTGGCCAATACGATGAGCACGATCCTGGGCCTGCAGATCTTGATGAGGGTTCCAATCGGAATCGTAGATGATGACGGTATCGGCGGTCTGCAAGTTGAGACCAAGACCACCTGCGCGGGTGGATAGCAAGAACATGAAGTATTTAGAGTCAGGGGCATTGAACTCTCGAAGCAAGTCGGAGCGCTCGTCGGATTTGGTCGTACCATCCAATCGGAGATACTCAAATCGCTTGTAACGCAAATAATCCTCCATGATATCCATGATCGCAGTCATCTGGAAGAACATCAAGACTCGATGGCCAGTTGCCTGATACTTAGGGAGAATTCTGTCAAGCAGCTCGAATTTTCCTGCTGTCCTCCATAAGAGATCATTGCTGACATTCATAGGATTCATGACATTTTCCACAACATCGAAAACGAACGGGTGGTTGCATAGCTTCCGGAGCTGCATAATCATGTTGCTCAATCCGCGAGCACCAGTCTTTCCGCCCTTGCCATCGCTAACGACAAGTCTGTTGTGGGTGACCATCTGCTTGTACAACTTGGACTGAAGGGCAGAGAACTTGCACTTGATGACCTTCTCTGTCTTGTCGGGAAGGTCCTTTTCAACATCCTTTTTCAAACGACGGAGAAGGAAGGGTCGCAAGACCTTGTGAAGACGCCTGATGACGAGAATTTGCTCTTCTTCAGTGAGTTCCATCTTGTCCTGGCTGCCAGTGTTCGCGAAGGGAGTATTGAACCACTCATCAAAAGTCGTTGCAGATTTGAAAATATTCGGCAGAACAAAATTGAGCATGGCCCAGAGTTCAGAGAGGTTGTTTTGTAAAGGAGTGCCGGTGAGAATGAGTCGGAAACGGGTATGATAGTATTGCTGAATGGTAAAGCTCAATTTGGAGTTTGAGTTCTTCATTCGGTGACCCTCATCAATAATCATATGGAACCACTTAATCTTGCTTAGAATAGGGCGATCCTTGATGATGTACTCATATGTCGTGAGTAATACTTGGAACCCTCCTTGCCGGATCCTGTCTTGCTGTTGTTTACGAGTATTGGGAGGTCCCTTGTAGACAATACGGCTCACAGAAGGAGCCCATCTTTCGAATTCCAAGTTCCAATTTGTCAGCGTACTTAGAGGCACGATGACAAGGTATGGTCCAGCTTGTTGTTTCCTCTCAATCAGGTAAGTGATTAGACTGATAGTTTGAATGGTCTTTCCAAGACCCATTTCATCAGCCAAGATACCGTTCAGATTGTTGTTGTAGAGTGAGATCATCCATTGGAGACCCTTGACTTGATACTCCTTGAGCTTACCGCCCACAAGCATGTTGGCTTGCTCGGTAACCTCCTCACGAATACGATGTGCCACAGCATAGTAATCAATCTTCTTGCTGCTTTCGTCATCCTCATCGTAATCACTGGCATCATCCATCTG